ATTTTTTTTCTAAATTGTAATGTAAGCCTTTTCTGTTTGGACCAACTGACCAAGAAGAGAAGGAGAAAATGGAAGAAGAAAACTCCAGCGTTGTCGTCACAGTGAAGAACAAGGATGAATTGATGGGGAAGATGAGTTGTTGGGCCATTTAAAAAAAAATTGTGGAGTTTTTACTAAATTGGGCTGTCTTAACATTAGACCCATGATCATAGGTTTCATAGACCACAGGCCTGCTGATGTTAAAAGTTAAAACCGTTCCCAGTTTCATCCTATTTTTGTAGTTCAGGCTGTTCGGCTATTATTTCATAAATATATGCACAAAACATGTCTCTTTGTTCACATAAATGTGTACAATGTGTTTGTGTGTTTGTTTGTGCATCTCCGTTAATTATCGTATTAATCTAAAAGCAAGTGAAATGAAATAATAGAATTGATTGCAGTAGGTCGTAACAAGTTATCTTCCACTAATTGCTTTAATTTGAAAATCTACATGCTTCTGGAAATGTTAATAAGTTTAGGCTTGACATCCTCGGGATATCCCTCGCATCTTCGATTTTTCAATTGGGACGAGACTTGAAAAGAAGTTATTCAAGTGAATGAGGATGGGAGATTGTCTTTAGGCTTGTTAGAATTGGTATTCTATAAAAAATTTTGTCACGATTTTGCTGGTGGTTATTTGAGGTTCTTGACTCAGAATTTGTTTTGGAACTCTATATTTGATATATATATATTTTGGTAGGGTGTCATATTTACGTGTGTATATGTTATAGATTGTCTTCTATGCTGGATAGCTCACCCCATTTGTGAATATTTGTTATAGATTCCCTCCGCATTAATTACGTGAAGCTCTTTTCTTTCATTTACTGCTTTTGGCCAAAAAAATTACTGCAGCGAATACCTAAATTTGTGCCGTACTGGACAAAGTCCCTGGCTCCGCCCCTGGTCGTTACGGAATTCACACAAAAGATAGAAAGTCAAATATGGTGACTTGATATAATAAATAACGGTCATATTTTTCATTTTTATCGCAAAGAATAGGAATCAAATTGGGCCAAAGTTACTTCTTTTTTCAAAAGAAAGTTGCTGAGTAAAGTTCAATTTCTCATTTATATAATCTGTTAAGTTATTCATTTGAGTTTTCATTATTATATCCATCATTGTTCAGTTCAACATTCTTAACTCCCTCATTAGTCATGGCCTCGTCTCTGAATGATGAGTGTAATCTTTTTTGTCATGAAAGTGTAATGTTGACAACGTTTAAAGCTGCACTTCCTAAAAGTAGTTTTTAAAGAAAATTATAAATTCAAACCAAAAGACCTTAATTTCTAAAGGCTTGGGGGTGGAAATGGCCAAGAAAATGGTTAAGTTTCTTTTCCCTTTTCATCTTCTTATTTTCTGTGAATTTTCATTAATTTCAGGCATTTCTTAAACCTTAAATTACATTTCCCTTAAAAAAAAAAACTCAAACTTTATCCACGTAAAAAATGTACTTTTATTTAAATGGAGAGTCAACACTAGACTTTCACGGCATAAGTCAACCTTAATGGGATGAATAGTTCAATTCCTTATATGCTAATTAATATTTTGATGAATGTAAAATTTATCCATTAACATGCTTTGCAAGATGGTGTTCTCAAACGAACGCCAATTTTGAAATCTGTGCAATTATTTTAGTCTTTAGTCTAATGAAATTGTTTATGGGTAACGCTGAGAGGTGTGTAACACATTATGTACATGGAAAATGTACCATTAAAATGCTTTGCAAGATAGTGTTCTCAAACGAGCACCAATTTTTAAATCCATGCAACTATTTCAGTCTTAGTCTAATGTAATTTTTTTTTGGGTGATGTTGAGGGAGGTATAACCCATTATATACACGAAAAGTGTACAAGTAGACCAATTCATTGTTCATTTAAGCTTAATAGACTTTGTAACATATTAAAATTCGAGAGTCCATCTTAGAGGGTCAACTTTGTTAAGAATAATAGTTCAATCTCGCATATTTTATTAATATTTTAGACATTACTACGTGTACATTAAATTTTATATAGTGGGTTACATAATACCATATATCACTCCATCATTTGTCGTTTAAAATATAATCTACTTTTTTATCTAATCTTTTCTCTCCACATCATTTTATGTAATTCCATATGTATCATTTTTATGTACAAGTAGCATAATTCTAATATTTTAGTACTTAATCGATATGACATTTATCCTTTAGGAGTGATACTATCTATATAATCATTTATGTTAACAATACTAAATACTAAAAGTAAACGAACACAATGACCAAACTAAAATAAATTTTAAAATTCGGCGACCTGAATAAAACATAAATTAAATTGGAACACCAATTCTTTTTCCCTCTTTTAGAGTAAAATTAGTTGTCTTTAACTGCATTAGAGGAATAAAGATAAAGGTCTACGAAACCATGCAGAGCTACTAAAACTAGGAGTATCCAATGCCATCCTATTCCCCATATTTGAATAAGCCATAAATACGTCACATTCATACCCATTGTAATATCGCATGCGTTTTATTTGATAAAGATAGATTTCATGGAATCCATACGGAGACGGACTCAGACATTTTAAAATTAGAGGGACACAATTAAATCTGTAAAACAAAAAAAGGTTGTAAAAAATCAGACTTAGGCTCTGTTTGAGATATTTTTTCAAAAAAATATACTCTTAAATAGTAATTTGAAATCATTTCAATCACACATTTTTCAATAAAATAATATTACACTCAAATTCAAAACTTTTCTTTATTTTCTAACCACACATTTTCCATTAATGCACTATTCAAAAATTTATTTTTAGGAATATAATGTGGCTCAAATAAGAGTTTAGGGAGCGTTTGTTTCCCATTTTTATAAAAATGAGAATGAAAAATATAATTGTTATGGATTCTACACAAGATATAGAAATTCAAATTTGATAACTTGATGTGATGTATAACGTTCATATTTTTTATTTTAATGGAGAAAGAATGGAAAACAAACAGGGCTTTATATACATTACTACTTCCAATATCCTTTCTTAGGCTTGAAACTAGAAAAATAATTGGTAGCTCATGAGAAATTATTTCAAACTGCTACATAACCTATGTTGAAAAGATGAAACTGTAGTGAATAAAATTTGGTGGCTCGTAAGAAATTAAATCAGGTTGAAGGATCTAAAAGTTGGTAATTATTGTACCGGGTGTTTGGACTTTACATTGAAATGATTGAGTCATATAATTTATATATCGTTCTATCAATATTTCTTAATTCGTTACTAAGATAACTATTAGTTAAACATGACATATAAATAAATAAATTTATTTCTTTATAATGTTTAAGTATTTAGATGAGATAGTTTGATATAAGAAATCATATCAAGCTGCTACATAACCTACATAATTTAAATAAATAAGTGTAAAATATAATAATTTTAACATTGAGATGATTCAGTACCAACGGCACATTCCACTCTAAAAAAAATTAATAATAAAGAGATGATTAATTGAAGAAACTCTTATTATGATACCATTTCTCTACATATAATCTTTAAATTCAAGGAACTATAAATACTGCAGGACAATTTCTCAAAAATCAGAGGAATTGTTTAAAGAAATTTTAATAATTTTTAACTTTTCTATGAATTCTTTGTTAGTGATTGTAAATGACTGATTTATTTTTCAATCTTTTCGACTTTAATTCCATAAGAGCAAGTTAGAAAATTGACATATAAAATCATCTAATTCAATTCGTTAAAAATTGGAATTGATCATAGATTTCCATAACGAACGAAAGGAAAACGGAAAATGAAAATTAAACTATGGATGAACTAAGATATATATAATAAAATGATATATGCTTCGTTCATTGGAAACTGATGTACCTTTTAAATCCATTATTAAGTAATTTGTGACTTCTGTCTGTGTAAAAAGAATGCAAACACCACGAAGCAAACATATTAAACATCGACTAAAGAAAAAAAAAACCCTCTTCATAATTGAAAAATAAAATAAAATTTGGTATGTGTAATTATACTCACACCACATTTTTTATTTCTTGCACCTTATTTTATTTGCATTTAAGATTCTTGATCTTAGCTTATTATTATACTTATATCCATTACGATATTTCAATGTCATTCATTTATTTTTTTAAAATTTTCATTATTTAAAATATTTTATATTTTGATAATAGTTTTATGCCTAAAAGTCCATTGAAATGACATAAAACAACTTTTTTTTTTTTTTTTTTACATTATAATTCTAAAAATGTACGTAAAAGGTATTTCCTTTCACTCAAAACATGAAAATAAAATATTTTAATATAAATCATTATCTATGACGAGACATACTGATTAATGAAAGGTTGAAGATAAGGATTCAATAGAAAAATTTTAAAAATAATAATTGATGCAATAAGCAAAAACTAAAAAGTTTAACAATAATTAAAATATAGTGTGTCAAATAAAAATTATGATGATAATACGACCACTCTTAAATCAAATAGATAGTTACTGGAAGAGTGCTATTTGTGTAAATTCTTTCGACATTTGGTCCGATTTATTTTTGACGACGGCATAAGCCCGTGAGGAAATAGGACCGACTCGCAGAACCGTACAGTATCGTACCCAATAGCATTTCTTCTTCCCCAAACAAAACTAAACAACAAAGATCAGCAACACCTCTTCTTCACAAATTCTCTGCTCAATTACGAATTACCTATACACACTGTACATATTCTATATTCTAGGGTCTTTGGGGCAATAAGCAAAAACCCTAAGAAATGAAAATGTTGCTTGAACTTCCTCGCTTAACCAATTCTCTTCGACTCCCATTCGACGCCGATCAAGCTTATCTGCAACGAAGATTGTTCCTTCAAAGTCTTAAGTTAAATAGGTAAAAGTGTTTTTTTTCCTCAATTTTGTCGAGTTCTGAAATAAATTGTTTTAAATGATGAATTGAAACATGAATTTGTTCCATGATTTAGTTCGGTGGCTTCAGTTGAAGAATCAGAACTTGCTCGAAAGGTCGTTTATGGATGGGATAAAGGTGCTTTCTTACTCTATAGCCGTGTGTGATATGTATTTGTATATATTGAGAAAAACTTTTGAAGAATAAATTCATTTTGTATTTGAATTCTGTAACTAAAAAAGGATTCGATTAGTGTAATTTCGTAAAAAAATTTGAAGAATAAATTCGTTTTGTATTTGAATTTTGTAACTAAAAGGATTGGATTAGTGTAATTTCGTATGGTTATATGGAAATGATTCATGTTTAATCCGTACAGTTACAAGCAATTTAAATTAACTTTTATATATGTATTTTGTATGAGCAACACTACTACGATTAGATTATGCGAGGAATTTGGTAAAGGTGTTAATTTGGTGTATTTTATTATGGTTTTGTGAATGTTTGCGATTAAGTAATTCATGTTTAACCTGTGCAGCTTCTGCTGAGGTACGGCAGGCGTACAAACAATTTATTGGAGCAGTGGTTGAGTTGATGGGCGGTGAAGTGGTGTCAGAGGAGTTCCGTGAAGTGGCTTTACGTGTTTATAGGCTATTTAGTGCAGCTGATGAGGATGACGAGGATGTAGATAATAAGAGGATTTTTGAGAAGAAGTAAGGCATTCAATTTTTACTTCTGTTGACTGAAAATTTCAAAATATTATTTTTGGACTGTCATGGAAAATTTTGTAAAGCATGATAATGAATTATAAGTTACAATTATGCTGCTGAGTTTGTTTTAGTTATTTGTGAGGTTACTGAATTGAAGAGCTTATAATTGATATTATGGAAGCCGCTTGATTAGAAACTATAATATATATTTTTTTTCTTGTTTCTGATATCTCAGAGTGTCAAACACATGAAATGATCATTTTTCATTGGTAAAAAGACATTTGCACAGTGCAT